CGCTGAGATATTACACGAAGTTTCAAAAACAGCTTATGCCCAAATTATGTAGATATATAAAGGCATTGGGAAAAGGGATGGATATGAGGGAGGGATCTCTGCAGGCAAATATCGCAGTTATACAAAGGAGGGAAAGGACCCCTCCCAACCAAGGGTTAGCTTTGAAGTATTATGTAGAGATAAGGCTAATGGTGGTTTAGGCGTGACGGATTTTAAGAGGTATTATTGTGCTGTACTGATTCACGAATGATTGATTGGATTTACAATACACCGAGAACATATTGGTAAAAATAGAAAATACACTAAGTGGGTCACAGTTAGATAAGATAATATGGCTTCCACAACAATACCGAACTTTTTCCGAAAACATAAGTATTTTAACACGGAATGTTTCAAGAGAATGGGATAGATTACATAAGCAAATGTGATTGGAAAATAATTCACTATTAATTCCACAGGAGGGAACAGATTTTTTCCCACCAGGGAAGGAAGACGTTGCAGGTAACAGGATAAAAAATAAAAATGCACGTTTGAAGGATATCACGGAAAAAGGGGAGTTGTTTTCCTTTTTAGAATTAAAAGATAAGAGGGATTTGTTTTTTAGGTTAGATGTATGGCGGTACCACCAACTGAGGCAGTTTGTATCAGCTCTTCTGCAACCATTAAGGACGGTGGACAGTATGTATCCTCTGGAATGATTGTTTAGTCAGTAGACGAAATGTAAACATACAACTTCTTGTATTTATAAGATTATTACTAATATTGCAGGAGCTCTCTGTCTGCTGTACCTTGAGAAATGGGAAAAAGAGCTTGGAACAAAACTAGAGGAGCATGATAATAAAGAAAATATTTAGATTGGCCCAGAGTGCTGTAAATTTGAATATAGTAGAGATGAACTATAAATGTCTAGTAAGATGGTACTGTACACCGAGTGTAGCACATAAACAACGATCTCAAAATTCATTCCTATGTTGGAGGGGATGTGGGCTTGAAGGACCATGGCACATATATGGTGGGATTACCCTAATATCCAAGAGTTTTGGCAAGGAATAATTCAACAAATTCAGGTGATAACAGGAACAAAAATACCAAATAACCCTTGGGTGCGTATATTTCATAAAGGAGATTTTACGGTGAAGCAATATAAGAATGTGTTAATATTTCTTTTAATAAATGCAGCTAAAGGGTTGATTCCTAAATTTTGGAAGAGTAAAGAAACCCTTAAAATAAAAGATTGGTTCAGCAGAGTGGAATACGTGTATAGGATGGAGGAACTTTACCATATTAGAGAAGATAAAACCAAAGAATCTAGAAAAATATGGGAGGAGTGGACAATTTATAAAACAACTAAGAGTTATGCAGAATTGAAAGGAATGTGAAGGAAAGAGAAAGGAAAAGGAGAAGGGGAAGAAGAAGGAAGATGAAAGAGAAGGGGAAGTCTGCGGTAAAGGTGAAGAAATTAGGTAATTGAGAATTAAGGTGACTGGGGAGGGGAGTGTGTAGAGTTTTTTCTTTGTTTGTTTAGTGTAAACAATTTTGAAAAAAATATTGTTGTATAATGTATATTAATTAAAATTAATAAAATATATAATAATATAAAAAAATCATCTGCTCAGCTCCTGATCTTGTTCCTGCCATTTCCAATTTTACTATCGCTGTTATTTTGGTACGTTATATATGTGTTCTTGCACTAGCTTGATTTAATCGATTTCAGTGTTACAACGGAGTGTCTGTGTCTTGTCATTGTCCTATTTCACTGGATATATTGTTAAACTCTATTTGCTCGGGTTTTGAGCGGAGGTACATGAGGTCCAAGACATAGAACTGCTGGCGGTTGACATCCTCTTTAAGTCACCTTTAGTCCGGATTCCTGGGTTTAAATTGACAACGTTGTCGAGTTTTTATTGGTGATGGGTGTAGTTATATATTTTTGTAAGGGGAAGTTTTCATATTGTTTATATTACTTTATAGTTTTTCAATAAAATTTGTTATATTAGTCAAACTACTTGGATCACGTATGATACCTTCTTTTATTAGGGTTCTTTCCCTAAAATTACCGTTCTTTATTGTTCTATGCATTACTGTTGAGAGAACTGATCCAAAAAAGCAGAGACTACTCAGAATTGGCTATTTTTACCTTCCTTAAATACAGCATGCCTGGACCATTACTTAATTACCACATGTATTTAAATATTGTATTATATATTAGTATGACCAACAAACCTGTCTACCGTAGTTGTCTTTCTCTAGAGATCTATACAGATTTTTGCAATTACCTTTGCTAACTTATCCTGGGATAGATGTATCATGCTATATTTATCTTTTATCCTCAAAATTACTGAATTCACTCTTTTTTTTTTTAACAGCCTTTTTTAAACAGCCTGGATATCAATATTCCAACTCTATTACCAAGTGTTAGAAATATTGCTTTCCAAATCTACCTTTCACTGTCCATACTGGTGAAATATGCCTCCAGCTAATAAATACATTAATATAATAAATAAATAATTAAGTAATTATATTTATCCCTAACTTTCCTTCTCCTGTAATCAAATGTAATACTGATTTTTATTTTTATTGTAATGTGCTACATAGGAGATGATATGACCTCTAGAGTGTGTCTTAGTAGTATAGGTTGTTCTTTTTGTGGAATATTATTATTTAGAACCCTCATTCTTCTCTGAATAGGAAATTTCTAAAACATATTTGCAAGTTTTTTTTCCTGTCCCAAAATCTAATGAAATGTATGCATGATCTGAATGCAGAATATCGTGAATGTCAGTTTTAACTTGTACCCTTAGAATGCCTCCTGAAACCAAAAAAGAATCTATACAAAGCTATCTTTTTTGTCCTTGAGTGACATGTGAACCCCTTCCCATGTTGTATTCACTATTATTCATAAGGATCCAGCTGTGACCTGAAGTTGCTTGTTTCATAGATTGCTATACTTTGGGATATACTTAAAAGCTGGGAGGATAGGTTACAAGAGAGGAGTGCAGATCTATACTGGAATATATGTCCTGAGCAGGGGCGGACTGACCATTTGGAAACTCGGGCACTGGCCGAGGGCCCAGGTCAGTAGGGGGCCCCATGAGATGCCCCTGGTACCTTTTTCATAGGCTTTTTTGAGTTTGGGCAAGGACACAGGGGCCCCATGATCCCCTATTGCCCGGGGGCCCCATGAGTTGTCAGTCCATCCCTGATTTTAACCACCCACAATAACTAATGTGTCATCCTCCTTCTTCACCATCATTTTCAAGAGAGCCAACACCATCTCTACTACCCATCCTTTCTCAAGCTTAACAGTCTCTAAGCCCAATAAATACATTTCTTACTTAAGATAATATTTGTTGCCTTTTTATCAGGAAGTTCAATCCACCAATATTCCACAAAATACATCTATTTACTATTACTCTTTTAACTACAAATGTCCCAGTTATATCCATCCAGTCCTAGCTTCACTATTTTGTATCCATTCTAACAGTTGATTATGGTTCTCAAAATATTTTGACCTTTGCAGGCAATCCAGCTGGTCTTGCCAGAAACAACAGAGCAAACTATATTTTTTTCTTGGACCAAATATCTACATCGAGGAGTGAAGACATTCTGCTTCATAGGTGAGCAATCAAGAAAAAGCAGAAGTCTCCAACCTCCATACTGCAGTGGTCCAAGGCTCCCATATGTCTGCATTGTCTCCCGATTCTCCTTCTTTCAATCTGTACTTTTCCGTTTTCAGAGTTAATAATTGTGGAATGTATTTAAATGAAAGTTGTCAGCCTTGTAAACATTTAACAGACTCAGGAAGTCCAGCTAGCCTCTAATTATTTCATTGCAACCTAGTCTCACTGTCATGATTTTTTCTTCTCTAATACAGGTTTTTAAGTAAAGAATATGAAATCTCAACATTTCATGTTCCTGCTATTCCTTTATGTGAAATACCTGGTGATCCTGCCAATTCACAGATTTAAAACTGACTATGCCAGGCATGAGAGTTCCTCCTTCCCAGTGTGGTCAGTTTTCTGGCTGTACTGGGAGAACAGCCTGCCTATCCTCCAATGATCAGACTTGCGTTGACACTCCAACCCTTGCACAGCCATTTACTGGAAAGATCAGTGTGCTGTTGTTTCTCCACTGTCTCCTCTGTAAGCCCTTTATGCGAGGACAGAGATTATGTGATCATTTATAAAAAAGTATTTATCATATACAGTTGTGCTCAAAAGATTGTATATCCTGTAGAAATCATGAAATTTTGGTATTGATATTGAAAATATGACTGATCATGCCAGAAAACTGTCTTTTATTTAAGGATAGTGATCATATGAAACTATTTATTATCACGTAGTTGTTTGGATTCTTTTTAAATGGCCCTGCTCAAAAGTTTACATACTCTGGAATGTTTGTCCTTGGCACAAGACAAGGTGATACTCAAATGTTAAAGTGGCAACTAAAGGTTAATTTCCGACATCTGTTGCTTTTTAAATTGCAATTAGCATCTGTGTATAAACAGTCAATGAGTTTGTTAGCTCTCATGTGGGTGCACTGAGCAGGCAAGATACTGAGCCATGGGGAGCAGAAAAGAACTGTCAAAAGACCCGCGTAACTTTATAATGCTGGAAAAGGATATAAAAAGATATCAACAGCTTGAATATGCTAGTACTGTTCAATCACATATTAACCTCCCTGGCGGTCTGATTATTTCAGATTTTTGGTGCTGAAAGCAGTACCATTATTTTGCATGGAAATATGTAGTTTTTTTATTGTAGGCTGTAATTTAGGAATAACTCACTGAAATCTGTCCGAACAAGAGTCTAGTAAACATCCCGGGGAGGATAAAATTTCAAACACGAAATCATAAATTATAATTTAATAAATAATCATAAAAAATAATAATATAATAATAATAATAAATTTAATTCAATAATATAATCAAACCAAAAACACTGAAATTTGAAATAGAGCGCCAAGTTCGCACATCGCTGAGCAAAGTCGCAAAATCGTTTTCAGTGTCTGATGAGGAATTTCCCCCACGAATCATTATCACTCAATTCTGCAAGTGGTTCTGATTTACTATCGCTGTTCTCTAGCCGGTCTAAAACCATTTTTGACCTAAAGGGACGCTTTTTGGACGCCATGGACTTTTTTCAGTTTCCAGGCAAAAAGAACAGTCAAAATGCAGGCAGGGCGCCGGACAAAGCAGTAGGGACAAAATGTATGTGAAATGCATTGAAACAGCAATGTTATGCTATGTAAAATTTGTTTGGAAAAAAATTACATTTTTTAAAATTGTAAAATTTCCCGCCGCCCGATGTCACAGGGACCGGAACACAGAAGGCGGATGCCGGCATCGGCCAGATGGAGAGTTTATGAGTTTCAGGGAAAATAACTTTATAAATAGTGGACAAGGGCTTAGATAACTCATCATCCCGTAATGAAGACCCTAAGTCTGAAGGGGAAAAGGGAACCCTGAAAGGCCCAAATTGTGCCTGATAAGCATGCTGCAATTGGATATATCAGAAAAACTGTTTTTAGGGCAGGCGAAACAAGGCCTTTAACTCATCAAATGTTCTTAATTGTCCATTATGTGTAATGTCCCCTAATTTTTTGACCCCATATTTCATCCATATAATAGGGTACAGATATGTGTAAAAATGGGGTAGGTTAGGATTTTTCCATATGGGAGCATGGGCGGAGGGAGCAAAAGGTCCCCTGATTTCAGGCCTGTGAGCAACAGATCAAGCCCTTATTGCAGATGTCATTGAGATGGTCAAAACATATGGGTACTTTGGACCTCTGTGAACCAGATGGGCCAAGGCCTCATAGGAGCCAACCACAGCTGCCTCCAAGGCAACTGTAGCATCATCCTGAGGGCTTGTCAACCATCTATGTGCAAAGAGTAATTGGCCAGCTACAAAATATTTATAAAGGTTGGGTACTGCTAAACCACTTTTCTTCCAAGGTTGTTGTAGGAATCCCAAGCCGAAGCCTGGGAACTCCACCTTGCCAGAGAAATCCAATATACAATATACATATACAAAATCCAATAAATCCAATATACAATCCTATGAATAATAAATGTACTATTCAAAGTACTATAAGTGAATATATGCATAACATGTTAACAGTGAATGTCCATATATAAATCGTGAATATCTTCTCTCATTTCCACATGATATATCACTGCGTTCCACTTCTTGTGATACTTCGCATCACTACACTCCACCTCTAGTGATACTTCACACCAAACATACGTAGTGATGCCCGCCACCATTCATGTATTTTATGCTTCTATTCACTTCTAGCATTTTGAATAGCACATTTATTATTCGTAGGATTGTATATTGGATTGATTTATTTGATTGGGAGGCACAGCAATCGATTCCTTTTTCTTTGATGTTTACAACCATACAGGACAAAAATATTAATATCCTTGCTTTGTTTACAACTTGACAGCACAAAATATACACTACTATATTGCCAAAAGTATTGGGACACCCCTCCAAATCATTGGATTCAGGTGTTCCAATCACCTCCATGGCCACAGGTGTATACAATCAAGCCCCTAGGCATGCAGACTGCTTCTACAAACATTTGTGAAAGAATGTTCCGCTCTCAGGAGCTCAGTGAATTCAAGCATGGTACCATGATAGGTTGCCTCCTGTGCAATAAGTCCATCAAGGAAATTTCCTGGCTACTAAATATTCCACAGTCAGCTGTTAGGGGTATTATAACAAAGTGGAAGCAACTGGGAACAACAGCAACTCAGCCACGAATTGGTAGGCCACATAAAATGACAGGGCGGGGTCAGCGCATGCTAAAGCGCACAGTGTGCAGAAGTCGCCATCTGGCTGTAAGGTCAATAACTAAAGACCTGCAAACTTCATGTGTCCTTCAGATTAGCACAACAACAGTGTGTAGAGAGCTTCATGGAATGGGTTTCCATGGCCGAGCAGCTGCATCCAAGCCTTACATCACCAAGTGCAATGCAAAGCGTCTGATGTAGTGGTGTAAAGCACGCCGCCACTGGAATCTAGAGCAGTGGAGATGTGTGAATCACACTTCTCTGTCTGGCAATCTGATGGACTTGTCTGGGTTTGGCGGTGGCCAGGAGTACAGTACTTGCCTGACAGCATTGTGCCAGGTGTAAAGTTTGGTGGAGGGGGGATTATGGTGTGGGGTTGTTTTTCAGGGGTTGGGCTTGGCCCCTTAGTTCCAGTAAAGGGAACTCCTAAGGTATCAGCATACAAGATATTTTGGACAATTTCAAACTCCCAACTTTATGGAAACAGTTTGGGGATAGCCTCATCCTGTTCCAACATGACTGCGCACCAGTGCACAAAGCAAGGTCCAAAAAGACATGGATGAGTGAGTCTGGGGTGGAGGAACTTGACTCGTCTTCAGAGAGTCCTGACCTCAACCTGATAGAACACCTTTGGGATGAATTAGAGCGGAGACTGCGAGCCAGGCCTTCTTATCTGACCTGACAAATGTGCTTCTGGAAGAATGGTCAAACATTCCCATAGACACCCTCCTAAACCTTGTGGACGGCCTTCCCAGAAGAGTTGAAGCTGTTATAGCTGCAAAGGGCGGAGCCAACTCAATATTGAACCTCTATGGACTAAGACTGGGAGGCCATTAAAGTTCATGTGAGTGTGAAGACAGGCGTCCCAATACTTTTGGCAATATAGTGTATGTACTGTACATTGCATTATCAACGACAGTTATTGTTTTATTCATCTTATGCGTTACCAAGAAACACTATGTGCTTAATATTTGCCCTGACAAAAATCCAATAAAGAAATACAGACTATGAAAATATTATAAAAATAATTTTACTCCAAAACTCATGTTAACCTTTTACTTCAGATAAGCAGATATTCACATGTGGAGCCGGGAATTTCTAGTTATAAGAGATGGATGCATACATAAATGAATGTGTGAATCAGGAATGTTCTTCAAGCACATGTGGTGCATACTTAACCCCTTCACACCTAAGGGTAAAACAATCGTAAAGCCTAAGCACAATTTTGCAACATTGACATGTGTTAGTAAAACCGTCCATATCATCACAACTACTTTGTACATCCGGGTGAATTATGCCTTCTTTTTTCAGGACAAATTGTGCTTTCATTTGGTGGTAAATGGTAATGGATATTATTGGATATTTATTATCCAAGGAAAACTGGCCCAGAATAGTAAAAAAAAATTTCAGCAAAAAAAAATGACTATCGCAGCGATACAGTATATGTGTCTGCTATTTGTTGTTTGTACCTGTAGTACAGCCCAGAAACAGTAGTGCGCATTTGGTTTTTGTTCTTTTTTTTTACCTAAAACAACTGACACTAATATCAATTAAAAAAAAAAATCCTGACCTTTCACCCTGACCTATTGACCTTGACCTTTGACCCTGGCCTTGACCCAAACACTTACCTGGCACAGGGGCGGACTGACAACTCATGGGGCCCCCCGGGCAATAGGGGATCATGGGGCCCCTGTGTCCTTGCCCAAACGCAAAAAAGCCTATGAAAAAGGTACCCGGGGTATCTCATGGGGCCCCCTACTGACCCCGGGCCCTCGGGCAGTGCCCGAGTTTCTAAATGGTCAGTCCGCCCCTGCCCTGACACTGAAATAGATCAAACCTTGATCTAGGTATTTTTTCTTTATTTTTTAATTTTGTTTTTTTTTCTACAAACATTGTTTTTCCCTCTATGCCAGGAGTTCTCTCCTCCATTCCTAGAGAGAAAAAAAAACAAGGGGCCCGGGCTGTACCGTGACTGATCACTGTGATAGCCAATCAGAGGCTATCACAGTGATCATGTGGCCCCGAATCGGGAGTCCTGGGTCCCGATCATTAGAATGGGACCCGGGGCTCTCAGTGACACCCCGGTCTTTGTGCTGGGAGCACTTTGTGTGGCGCTCTTCCAACACACAGACAGGTACGCAAATATGCGGCCCCACAGGAAAAAGTGTGATGTCAGCACGCAGGGGTTAAGGTCAGGGACGGGTGGACTGACAACTCATGGGGCCCCCGGGCAATAGGGGATCATGGGGCCCCTGTGTCCTCACCCACACTCAAACCACACCCAAAAAAGCCTATGAAAGGTACCAGGGACATCTCGTGGGGCCCCCTACTGACCCTGGGCCCTCGGGCAGTGCCCGAGTACCCAAATGGTCAGTCCGCCCCTGGTTAAGGTTGAACCCTGGGCAGAAATAAAATATATACATTAATACAGTTCTAGATTAATTAATATATCAATAATTGTATTTTTAGATTGCAAGTTGTGCAAGTACTTGAATTTGACCTGGTATTAGCCACCCTGTACAGCAGAATGAGAGAGGAAGAAGCAGCACAAGGATCCAATCAGTGCATGTGCTAACAATAAGCATGCTGATAGCAGTAGAAATCAGAGAAATGAGCTCTTCTTACTCTGCTTCATTGTCCAGTCACAGGCTGGTCTAAAAAAAAGTGGGTTGATTAATGCTGGCTATCGTTCAAACCAAAAATTGCAGACACCCAGTAATGTAAAGGAATTACTCTACAGAGAAGAATTACTCTGGAGAGCAGGTGAGTATTTCAGTAGATTGTTTTTATCCTATAATACGCTACTCATTTTTCTTTTTTAAATTTTTAACTGGAGTTTCGTTTTCATACATAAGGTAGAGGCTGATTTACTACAGGAGCTGAGAATCTCCACCTAATAATTTTTAGCTGTGTTCACTTTGAATAATCAATCAGGCACAGATAAAGGAATATATATATATATAAAGTGCTAATATACTAAATAACACTGATAAATAAATAAATAAATACTACTGTCCAAAAATTATATTGTCCACAATAAAAAATAAAATCAAATAAAATAAACAGTTGCCGGTCGGCCATCTTGGATCCTGGGAATTCCATTCAGAGATACAGGTGGAGTGTTCCTGAGGATCTATGGAGGGTCTGTTCGTAATTTTAATATGATGTGACACTTATGCAATAAAATTTAGGTGGTATTGAAGAACTTCCTATTGCTGTTTGTGGTGGCATTATCCGGAGTCATTGAGAACATGACCGGATGAGTTTTACATGAACTTTATCAGTATAATCTGTTCAGCTTTGGAGGGAATCTATATGGTAATGGAGGAGGAATTTCCCACTTGCTAAGTTTGAAAAGCCGTTTTTGGATTGGGACTTACATGCGTGTTATATCCATGTTCTGGTTTGATCTCCGTAATCACTGGATCTTCATTCGGCTGGAAGCCTTTTTGCGGACAGTCTTTCTGGAGGATTTTTGTTTATTCTGTTTATTTTATTTGATTTTATTTTTTATTGTGGACAATATAATTTTTGGACAGTAGTATTTATTTATTTATTTATCAGTGTTATTTAGTATATTAGCACTTTATATATATATATTTGGATGATACACTTTTTGGGGTGAAAAGTGTTTAGGTGCAATTGGGGAATTATTTAAAGGGTACACCGTTCATTTTTTGTTATACAGATAAAGGAATAAATAACTAAAGTGAAAACGTTCAACTACTTTAGTAAATCAGCCTCAAATTCTTAGTTAATCGGGTGCTATGAATCACAGCATAGGGCAATATAGTTAGAATCAATATTCATATAAATGTGTTTTTCCATTTCTAGTAATGAACATCTTGCTGTGTAAGAGAAGGATTCAGATTGGTGTACGATAATGCCATTCAGTGAAATTATAACATTTCAACAAAAATAATATTTTCTATCTATGGCACATGATGCACGGTTAGTTGAGAGCAGATCCAGTAAAAAAAAATCTACAACATCTAAACATTACATTCCAATGAGAGTTGTAGTTTTGGCAACTCAATAGAAACTGGAATGTGAGAGTATGCAGAAATGTTGTACATTAATTTAGGCCATGTTGTTATGATTATGAGATAATTAAATACATTTGCTGTATTGACATTCTTGTAACTGACTTTCCACTGTGTTCCCAAGAGGGATGAATCTGCTGGAAAGCCAAACTTAAGAATCTAGTGTCGAAGGCAGGAAAGAGATCAAAGATGCAAGTAGATAACATTATGAAACATTAAATAAAGCATTTAATTGTTCCAAAGATGTCATTTGTAGCGTTCATTTGTTCTAAACACATTTAGGGATCATATGCTCTTAATTATAATACTAAGTGCCCATAATAAAAGAAATCCAAATCAATGTATGATAAATCAGTGCATTTAATTATTTTTATAGCGGAGTAGGTGAATCCAGCTCTTAAATAGATGTTCACCCCCTAGCTCAGGCGATGGGAGGATTCAGTCATGGAGCAGATAATTTTCACTTTGCAAAAAGAATGTTCACACATCATTCTTTTTTTTGTATTTGGTATTATAAAAAAACATCACTTTATTTACTAACAATAACATTGCATAAGGAACATACACAGAGTAGCCATTATCATCACCCACCTAATATTGAATAGGTCCCCCTTTTTGTGCCAAAATAGCCCCTTTTGCCACCACAACAGCCCTGACTCATTGAGGCATGGAGGCTAGTAGACCTCTGAAGGTATGCTGTGGTATCTGGCACCAAGCTGTCTGTAGCAGAGCCTTTAAGTCCTGTAATTTGTGTGGTGGTACTTCCATGGATCAGAATTGTTTTTTCCAACACATCCCACAGTTGCTTGATTGGATTGATCTGGAAAATATGGAAGCCAAGTCAACACCTGAAACTTCCTCAAGCCATTCTTGAACCATAAAACTCAACCAAAAATAGTGCAGCGCTCAATTCCAAACAAATAACACATAAAAACATAAATAAGATGTTCCCAAAGTCCACTAATAACACAAGGTATATCAACTATGACCAGAATAATAGACATTCATATATAGGTGACTATAAGCAATAGTCATACCCCCCTCACTCCCACTAAATAGTGTGACCAGTGAGAAAAAAATCAGTCCGATGAGCACATACAGTTCATAAATAAACAGTGAGGGTGTTCACTATAAATAATTCATGCAATGTGCGTGATCACACCACACTTCCAATAACGGTGAGTGACTCTCCTTCTATAGCTGAATTGCCTCCTCACCTCCACTCCGCGGCCCACTGGACCAGCATGCCTTCAAGATCACTCAGGATCTTACTCCAATGGTGTTAGATAGACTCCTCCAGATCTGCCCTCCTATGGGGATAGTGCACCAGATGTCCTGGCTCCCGATCTCCACTCCAAATGCCACTCGTTCCAGTAGAGTAAATACAAAGAGATACTCTGATAGTGTAGTATGCCGAAGTATCTCTTTTGACATTTGGAGTGGAGATCGGGAGCCAGGACATCTGGTGCACTATCCCCATAGGAGGGCAGATCTGGAGGAGTCTAACACCAGGCGCCCGTACGTCCCGACGTCACAGGGACCGGAACACAGAAGCCGGATGCCGGCATCGGCCGGAGGAGATGGCCGGGGACGCTGCAGGGGACGCATCGCGGGAGCGAAGGACAAGGTAAGCGCTGCAGGGACTCCCTATGCAGCACCGCATGGTAAGCCCGAGTGTAGCTCGGGGGGGTTACCGCTTTTGGCACTAACATTTTACCCCGAGCTACACTCGGGAATACCGCCAGGGAGGTTAATCTACCAGCAATTTTTGTCTGCTTTCACAACTTCAGGGACAACTTGTTCACTTGCTGCCTAATATATTCCACTGACCTTGTAACAAGATAATCAATGTTATTCACCTGTCAGAGGTCATAACGTTATGGCTGATAGGTGTATACATTACACAGTGAATATTCATTTTTATAATAACATAGCCTCTATTACTTTAGTAAATAACATGAAATGTAAGAGAAATTAAGGATAGTAATTTAAAAAAAAAAACTATAAAACATAAACGAGTTTAAAAAGCTACAGTTCAGCTTTAACTTTAAAAAACACACCATTGGCTATTATATTTTACCAGCAGATTGTATAGTAAATGAAGCAATTAACGTTCCTGCTCAAGGCTCCTTCTGGTGCACATAAACCATAGGCTAGGTATCTGGTCACATAATCTGTGAAGAAGCAAATTATTAGCCCGTTTAAACTGCAAGTCTCCTTTTCATCGCAGATCACAAAAAAAAAGGCCTGGGATTTTATTATGAGAGTAGAACTCCTGGGAAGCAGCCAGGGGTGGACTGACCATTTGGAAACTCGGGCACTGCCTGAGGGCCCGGGGTCAGTAGGGGGCCCCATGAGATGCCCCTGGTACCTTTTTCATAGGCTTTTTTGAGTTTGGGCAAGGACACAGGGGCCCCATGATCCCCTATTGCCCGGGGGCCCCATGAGTTGTCTGTCCGCCCCTGGAAGCAGCTATTCCAGGACTTTGAGTACATCTTATTTACCCACCCCAGCAAGACTGTTAACATTGTTGTATGTTAATATCGGAGTATAGTTCCAGTTGAGACTGAACTCCAAAATAAGTAAAAATTGTGTACATATAAAAGACATGTATTTTTAAGTTTGAACAAGGACACAGGAGGCCCCATGATCCCCTATTGCCCGGGGGCCCCTTGAATGTTGATTTGTGTTATATGTATGTCTTCCACATCTGGGCAGTAATTGAGTATAAAACTTTGTAGGAGTTTCCTATAATAAAGACCAGTCACTGCTACTTTCTCTCCTGGTGCAGGGTGGCTGGTCTTGTATCCCCACCGCCCCCCCCTGGTAATTTTGGTGCACAGAGTGGACTTAACTTCTTTGTGGTTACTGAGGAGTAAATTTGAATGAAAGTTTTCTTGCCTGGAGTTCAAGTTTAATGCAACCTCCTGCACTTATTTGTTATCAATGAAAATCATACACAGAAAATGTTATTATTTACATTTGTTACAGAATATATATTTGCTGTAAGTGGACCATTTTATATACTATTTTTTAGCATATATAACAAAATATTCAGGCAGCACATTTACTAAATGGTTAGCACTTCCACCTGACAGTACTAGGGTCATTGGTTCGAATCCACACCAAGGCACCACCTGCCTGGAGTTTGCATGTTCTCCTTGTGCCTGCGGGGGTTTACTCCGGGTACTCCGGTTGTCTCCCACACACCAAAGACATGCTGGTAGGTTAATTGTGATTTAGTTGAGGACTGAATTGTCCAGTGCTTATCTGTTCCTGTGCTAATTTATGATGCTGGTTTGCTCTGGAATGTGCGCACATAAAGAAACTCACACTGACACGTTTGGTCTGTGAAAACTTCTCTCTAATTTATTGAAATGAAATCGTGAGTTTATATATGAAAAATGATGCGAACATCACGTGATAAAAGTATAAGCATTATATTAGTTTTTGATTGGTCATTTTACACGAAAACAATCTCCGTTATGGTATAGGTGTGATTTTTTTCCAAGTTTTATCTTACAGAAAAAAAAACATTCCTTTTGTCTTCGAAATCACACGATGGGAGGGAGTCGGTGTCTGTGAGCAAACATTTCTTAAGCAAAAATTTCTTAAAGTACCACAAAAACCCAGCAGACAGAAAATATTCACACAACATATATATTCATACTAAACATTTATAAAATATGTGGAAAAAAAATAGTATTAAAATATAAAAAGAAATATGTATAAAAATATGTATAAAAAAGTGTATATATATATATATATATATATATGTTCAATAGGAAACCAATAGGCATTTTACCAAATCCATCACAATTGGATCCTGACTACGTTGGCCCTGGTATGTGTATGTATGATTTTAGATAGATTTTTTTACATTCAACTTTATTGTCATTGTGCAAAGTACATGTACAGAGCCAATGAAATGCAGTTAGCATCCAGCCAGAAGTGAATAAATGACCCATTTACAATAAATAACAATATAAAAAAAAAATCGGACTATGGAATATACAGTAATACCATAATCGGTGCAATGAGTAGTGCAGTAATGGATGCAATATTCAGTAATGCAATGGTGAATAAAATATACAGTAATGCAATATTATCTAATGATTAGCTGTTCAATGCTTTAATAGCCACAGGGGAAAAAAAAACATTTTTTCAGTCTATTTGTACGAGCTGTGAGAGACACCTGTATCGTTTGCCCGATGGAAGGACTATAAACAGTCCATGGTTATGAATGTAAGTTAGGGACCTTAAATTGTACACCCCTTAAAGGTTAGGGACTGATGTGAATGTACAATATATATGTAAAGCGCTGGGTAATTTGGTGGTGCTATATAAGTACTTGAAATAAGTTAAAAAAAAAAATGTAAGTTAGGGACCTTAGATTGTACGCCCCTTAAAGGTTAGGGACTGATGTGAATGTACAATATATATGTAAAGCGCTGCATAATTTGATGGTGCTATATAAGTACTTGAAATAAGTTTAAAAAAAAAAAAAAAATATATATATACAGTATATATTCAAACCACAAGGTGCCTCTGGAGTATTTGTTTTACATTTTGCTTGATTGAGTGCTACACTACTTTGTGTTTATAGATTTTTAAACCAACATAACTAATCTATTGTCATAAAGCAAAAAAAAAGGGAACTTTGTTTACATCATGCTTTAGATTTGAGTCTAATTTTTTATGTGAAAATTAAATTTTAAAAAATTTCACGAAAGTGGTGAAGATGTAAACATTGCAGGAAAATTCAGACCTTCTGTGGGTATGTTTTTGCAGAATATTATATATATATATATATATATATATATATATTGAAAATGAAGTGTTGTCATAAATTTTGGCAGCATTCAAGAAACTGATTGGACAAACTTCCATTCTCATCTGTGTTTAATTATGCTAAAAACATGTGAATGCTGTATATATAGTGAAGGATATATAACAGGCAGGAAATTGCATTCATTGCACTTTCTTGCTTACATGTTGTTTGGATGTTGAGGAAAGATCCAAAAAAACTCATCCACAGAAACATCAGGTTTTTTTTCTCGCCTATAAACACATATGGTCATATTCTACAAGCCTGCAAGTATTACATAGCACAATGCTAGTAAATACAGTAAATCTTACAGAAAATAACAAAATGGGCAATCAACCTGCAGATACTAATCTGGCCATTCGTTCCTCTAATCTTGGATCTTATGAAGAAACCTAACATGATGGAACCTTCCATTTCCAGTCTACTGAGTTAGCCATTAAACTGTATCATATTAAAGTAAGCGTGCCATAAGTGAAAAAAAGAACTGCCTTTTTTGATCTCCTTTTGAAAATGTTAGTTGACGGGCTGGTGTGGTGGGCCACTGGTTTTTATAACATAAGCAGAAAATAAATAAAAAAAGGAAACAAAGAAAAGGTCTAGGAAAGAGACAACATATGATACGGTATATTGGGCTGACATGGTACCACATACCTAACAGTACACATTTTAAACATCAGACTTTAAAGGTTCCAGGACACAACAAAATTATACAATCACACTTTTATTACAAAGCATATATAAAATACACTGCCATAAAAAAGTTTGATGATTAAATATATATATACAGTGGGGATCGAAAGTTTGGGCACCCCAGCTAAAAATTTGTATTAATGTGCATAAAGAAGCGAAGGAAAGATGGAAAAATCTCCAAAAGGCATCAAATTACAGATTAGACATTCTTATAATATGTCAACAAAAGTTAGATTTTATTTCCATCATTTACACTTTCAAAATAACAGAAAACAAAAAAATGGCGTCTGCAAAAGTTTGGGCACCCTGCAGAATTTATAGCATGCACTGCCCCCCTTTGAAAAGCTGAGACCTGCCAGTGTCATGGATTGTTCTCAATCATCGTCTGGGAAGACCAGGTGATGTCAATCTCAAAGGTTTTAAATGCCCAGACTCATCTGACCTTGCCCCAACAATCAGCACCATGGGTTCTTCTAAGCAGTTGTCTAGAAAACTGAAACTGAAAATAGTTGACGCTCACAAAGCTGGAGAAGGCTATAAGAAGATAGCAAAGCGTTTTCAGATGTCAATATCCTCTGTTCGGAATGTAATTAAGAAATGGCAGTCATCAGGAACAGTGGAAGTTAAAGCAAGATCTGGAAGACCAAGAAAAATATCAGACAGAACAGCTCGCAGGATTGTGAGAAAAACAATTCAAAACCCACGTTTGACTGCACGATCCCTCCAGAAAGATCTGGCAGACACTGGAGTTGTGGTCACTATTCCACTATAAAGAGATACTTGTACAAATATGGTCTCCATGGAAGAGTCATCAGAAGAAAACCTCTTCTACGTCCTCACCACAAAAATCATCGTTTGAACTTTGCAAATGAACATATAGACAAGCCTGATGCATTTTTGGAAACAAGTTCTGTGGACCGATGAGGTTAAAATTGAACTTTTTGGCCGGAATGAGCAAAGGTACGTTTGGAGAAGAAGGGGCACAGAATTTAATAAAAAGAACCTCTGTCCAACTGTTAAGCATGGGGTTGGATCAATCATGCTTTGGGGTTGTGTTGCATCCAGTGGCACAGGGAACATCTCACGAGT